GTTTCAATATTGATGATTTTGGCATTCAGCTCCTGAAAAGGAAAAAAAAAAAATTGCGTATTTCATCCAACCAATAACAGAAAAGTGTTTTTAATACAAAAAAAAAAGTCAACCTTCAAATAATTATGTTCAGTTATGCACTCAATACTTAGTTGGGAATCCTTTTGCAGAAATGACTGCTTCAATGCGGCGTTGCATGGAGGCAATCAGCCTGTGGCACTGCTGGGGTGTTATGAAAGCCCAGGATGATTCGATAGCGGCTTGAAGCTCATCCGGAGTGTTGGGTCGTGTGTCTCTCAACTTTCTCTTCACAATATCTCACAGATTCTCTATGGATTTCAGGTCAGGAGAGTTGGCAGGCCAATGGAGCACAGTAATGTCATGGTCAGTAAACCATTTACCAATGGTTTTGGCACTGTGAGCAGGTGCCAGGTCATGCTGAAAAATGAAATTTTCATTTCCATAATATTTTTCAGCAGATGGAAGCATGAAGTGCTCCAAAGTGTCCTGATAGCTAGCTGCATTGACCTTGCCCTTGAAAAAACACAGTGGACAACCACCAGCAGCTGACATGGCACCCCAGATCATCACTGACTGTGGGTACTTGACACTGGACTTCAGGCATTTTGGCATTTCCCTCTCCTGGGTCTTCCTCCAGACTCTGACACCTTGATTTCCGAATGACATGGAAAATTAACTTTGATCCGGAAAAAGTACTTTGGACCACTGAGCAACAGTCCAGTGCTGCTTCTCTGGTTCAAAAGTGGCTTGACCTGGGGAATGTGGCACCTGTAGCCCATTTCCTGCACACGCCTGAACACGGTGGCTCTGAGTGTTTCTACTCCATACTCAATCAACTGCTTCCTCAGGTCCCCCCAATGTCTGGAATCTATCCTTCTCCACAATCTTCCTCAGGGTCCGGTCACCTCTTGTCATTCTGCAGCATTGTCATCGCATTGGGATTTATTCGGCAAATTCGTTTTTTCTTATCGGATAAAAGGTTTGTCCTATTCAGTTGTGCAAATCATTTTTATGTGCGTTTTCAAAATTTATGCACATCTTACCATTTCCATACAGGGTTTTTTTAATGCGATTTTTCAAAATGTGGACAAAAATAGGTGGATGGAAATGCAGCTAATGACATTTTTTTATATTTCCCTCCATGTTAGAATGTGTTTTAGATCATCACAAGTGAATTAAATTATTAGATTAATTTAAATAAGTTTATAAGGTCCATGACCACCAGGTGGTGCTATGACTGGAATCATTTTGTGTCGCATATGACCAATGTTCGTGTCGCATATGTCAAAATTGTTAAATGTAGCATTTCCCCTGGCCACCTGTAAATGTTTTCAGATATGAGCTGTTAACATAAATTTGAGTCCGATCAGACATTGCATACATAGTTTAACCAAGTCAAAAAAGCTTCGCAATTTAACATCCCATGTGCCTTTTGACTGATGGAGTTTTGGGGATGAACGTATTAAATCTTCAGAAAAAGTTTATTTAGGTACGACACAAGTAAAAGTGGTAATTTTAGATGTTTTTGAAAAATAACAGACCTCCTGTCAGTTTAGAAACACAGCCATATTACTTATATTTAAATCTTGGTACCCTACACAAGTGTGCTGAATTTCAGCCAATGAAATTCACTTCAGCCAATGTTAGTATTGTTATAAAGTAGATTAGAGATCACATTGTTATAATTTAGATGAGATGCCATGCGCAAGCGAGTACGGTGGGAATATTTGTTCATGTTTGTTTTTAGTTTGATTGGTTATTTGAAGGTTTGATTTTGCTTTCTCCGCAAACGGTTCTTTCAATACATGATGACTGAGTCGAGTCTTGTCAGATCTACGTTGATTTAGTTTCATGGGTTTTGCAGATAATTTCCTTTTCTTTCTGTTTTGCAGTTTCAGTGTTTTGTTTTGTATTTACCCTTTGATTCTTTGGTTTCCGTTTTGTTTGTCATTCACAAGTGTTCCGATAAAAACACTTGTTTTCTATCATTGTCCATCCAGCATTATCACAGGTACAAAGTCAGTGCCCTTCTCTGAAAAGCAACATATGGTTCTAGCCTTTTTACCAGTGTCCAATAGCAGCATTAGTACATTCAGCCAGAGGGAGGGGATGACAGATTTCAACTTCATTCACGTTTTCAACATTATCCCAACCATTACTGAAGTACAAAGCCAGATCGTCAGAGTCTATCAAGGTGGACAAGTAAGAGCAAAGCGTAGAAAAACAGAGATGTTGGTTTCCATCAAAGGGTGCTAAAGACAGACTTCCTTATTCCATTTCCTTCAGAGGAAATATTGAGTTAACTTTGCAACAGAAGCGGAGGAGTTGATAGAAAGAGGTGGCAGACATAGCTGAGGGCAAGATGGGAGCCAGTCAGCGATGACCCCTGTTCTTTTTCTCTCCCTAAGGGACATATTTACCACAGATCCTTATCTAACAGTCTGCATCTAACCAGGTCTGTCAGTCCGTCACCAGGGGAAACTTGGGTCTGCAGACCATTTATGAATAACGAATTCAATGTTTTTTTTACAAGGATAAATAAATGTATTCAAGTATTTGGACCTTGTTATATCTAAATGATTCATGGCATGGTCTCCACTGTTGTAAAACTCTAGATAAGATGTTTTATTCTACTAGCACATGGAGAGTTTTAAAGGTCACCCCGAGTGTTGAGATGTAAATGTGTCATGTTTTAAAGGTCACCCCGAGTGTTGAGATGTAAATGTGTCATGTTCTTAATGTAACAAAAAAAAAAAAAACAACCTAACCATTCATATGAGCTTTAACAAATATTCTACAAAAGGAAATGAAAAAAATGGATATTAAAAAAAATCTCTTATGAAATCTTCAGATAACCTGTGATATTAACTTTCAAACAGTTGGATAAAATGTCACCAGGCTTCAATTGGGGATCAGAACAACTAGTAATGAAATGAAATTATAATATTGTCCAAAGCAGACAAAAGCACGTTTTTTTTTCTTGTCTTTTTTAAATGTTATCTATTGAACTTTTTTTTTCAAAATAAACTAGAACAAGATGGGTTTTTGACCTTCAAAGTAAAAACAATATCAATATCAACCAATTACTGTGTTTTTCACATGCGTTAAATGAAACGCGGGTGAGTGTTCATGATTCAAGGGGTGTGATATAAAAACAAACATAAGAATGAAAAAATACATACATTTAATTAATGATAATTTGTTCATTGACATGAGATGTGAATCCAGAAAAAAATAAACAACTAGGGAATCTGAGACCTCCTGTAATACTAGGCCCAGGCAACATTGGAAGCACCAACGCTATTCACTCACCCTGAAGAACCAGTGCTCTTGCACACACCAAGGAGGGGCCGTTTCTCTGCAAAGCTGTCAGTGTTGAGGGAACCTGAAGACAGAGAGACAGAAAGCAGAACATTAACCATTGAGATCACCATAAAAAGCGATGTTTATTAGTCCCCACCCCAAAAGAGATCCGTTGTCTCAATGTCAAAGCAAAGGAACTCAATCTTAAAATTAGCTACTGCAGCAGGAACTACGTTGACTACATTACAAGAGATCTGTAATCAATAAATACGCCTAGAAAAACTCCTTCGGAAAGTAACCGCCGCTTTCCTGTCAGCTTTGACCATCACACAACCTCACTTACCAGAGAACAGTGCACTAGTCCTCACAGAGTCTTATGGGGATCAAATGAAATTAAAATACCAGTTTGCAAGACTTTAAATGGAGACAGAGAACAGAAACATCACTCAGTCAAATGTGTTGAACACAAACCATTCCTCCTCTCTGATGGAGAAAGTCTTCAAAGCTTTCTGAAGATTCTTCTGTCGGATTGGCTTTCATTTCGAGGCTTAGGAGGAATCGCAGAAAGGCAACGAGCCCATAGGCATATTTTTGGGGCCGACAAAACATAGATCCCATGTTTATGTAATAGATTTACAGCAGAAATCTGGGGATTCGTGTTTGGAGAAATGTTCAGAGTTGTAATTTAGGGAGCAATGCTAGACACTAATCAGCTCCATGTCCATGGCATGTGAGTTCAAATGTGTCATTCTTAAACAAGATCCGATCAAAATGCAAATACAACAGGCCTCTAAAGAAAGTAGTTAAGGAGCAAAAGCATCCCATGTGTCTATATCCTCTTGTTACATGCTTTAAAAACAACTGGTTTCCATTTGTGTTTTTCAATGCCTGGATTGAATTAATTGTGAGCAAAAATGATGGAATAATTTTATGGAAGACGCAACAAATTTCCAGTCGAGCCATTCACGAGAGCACTGTAAGCATTGGGATGAATTTCAGTAAAAAGAAACAGAGTTTTTACTCAGCTGTGTGCTCTGTGAGGTGACATTTCTGTCTCTGGAACTTTAAATGTATAAATGAGCATTAAACATGCTTCATGAATACATTTTTTTGTTTACTACATACTATTCTTATTGCACAAGCTTTAACATTTAAAATAGCGATAAAGTCCACGCATGAAAAATAGCATTTATTGCTTGTCCCCAGTCTCTGATGCTACAGTTCACCATAAAATATAATGATTAAGATCTTTTAAAATTTCTTTTCATTAACATCTAAATCCATGTATAATGCTTGTTTAAAATACATTTATTTACAAATCAATCTATCCTTTCTTAAACAAAAAAAAAAAACTCATTCCTGTTAACCTAACCCATCCCCCTCCTGAAAAAAACTGGGGAATTTTCATAATTCTCATAGTTTTTTTAAGCAGGAACTTGCACCATTTGTATCTTTAGAAGTTTATGAGAAGCGATAAGTTCTCTCGGTTTCTTATTTCCATATTTGATAATTTTGTGATGAAACTTGGTAAAAACAAAAACACTATTCTGTTACTTATTCTGTTAATTATTTTAGAGATTTAATTAGTCTAGTGTATATGATTCTAGCCTGGTTCTATAATCATGTGCACCATGGGGCTATTCAGCATGTATTTGCTAATTCTTTGTTAAAAACAAGCTTTCCTGTGGCTCAGTAGGTAGAGTATTGCATTAACAACACAAAAGTTGTGGGTTCAAATCCCAGGGAAAGCAATAACTGACAAAACATTTAAATAAGTTACTTACTATGGACTAATAACAATTTGTAATACTTAAGTATGTATGCTATTGAAATCTATTTTGAAAAGTTACTTGATGAAATGCCTCATGTAGCAGCAGTGGGCGAGAAATGTATCACCATGGCACAACAGCAGCATTCCGAAAAAGAACGGATGTAGAAAAGAAAGCCTCTTTAGGGAAAGCGGAACTTCCTACTTTATTCTGGGAAAGACCTTGCCTTATTAAAATTGACACCTATTTTCAGCACTTTCCATATTTGCCGCCCAGCTCAGACAATTGCTCTTTTTAAACCCCACTACAGTATGACACTGTGTGTGCCAAACAGATCACAATCTGTTTCCCCACTTGTATAATTCATCGCAGCCTCATGTGTCGACCGGCTGTAGCTTCTTATTGTGACCATTTGCTTTTATCTGCATCCAGCTATAGTTCAATGCCTTTATTGTGGATTGTTTGAATCTCTCAAGAGAAAGGAACAAATTCAGCACACAAATAACACAATACAAGACAACTCTCACTCTTCTTTTTGACTTTACTGTTGCATTTGGTGCTGATGCCCTTTTTTTTTTTTACAGGTGCACTTGCACAAATTTTGTATGATTATTTTCAGGTGTGTGATGAACCTATTAAGCCAAACAAGCTCTAAATATCATCAATGGCACATTTAAGTTGAAACAAGTAATTAACTGAAATAGAAATAGCTGTGTAGGAGGCTTAAAAATGGGTGATTAATAGACAAACAAAAAGAAAAATAGTACTTATGTGTAAAGATTGAGCACAGTAACAAAACACAAGGTAAACATACAGTCAAAACAAGGTCTCTCTCATGCATGAAAACATAGGATCTTGGCTGCAAAAAATGGCAACAAGTGCTCTTGACTTTTAAATATTTGATTATAGCAGATGGCCTAAACATTTGAGATTGATTTTTCCAAATGGAGTTGGAAATGCTGCTCTGTACAGCCACACAGTGTGAAACGATCTGTCACGAGACTACTCCGAAAGAGAACTTTTTCCAGGCTTCTTTTTATTGTCCTGGCAAATCAAAAATCATGTACAAGCCTAAATACACAACAGAAAAACAAGCTAGTTAAACAAGTAATATGATAGATATAATAAAATTGATGTTCCGCTGCAACTATTCTCTTATTTATAAGTTTTCTCCTGCAAACTATTAATTTTCTACACCTATCAAACGTAGTGAGTGCAGGCACGGTATGACCAATGAGTGTGTTGTGATGAAAGAGAAGGAAAATCTCAGAAGTCTGCAAATCCTCTCTGCAAAAGCGGCAGTAATCGTCCAGGCAGCCAGTTGACAGCATGCCAACATAATTGTGAAGGACTGATGTTAATATTATGATGGGAAAACAGCAGGGCTCTGGCAAGCTCTCTGTGCTATTAAGAAACAGAAGGTAGCCTTTCATTTAAACATGATTTATGAAAAACCCCATAAGGAAGAGCGATGTGAAAGTTTATAAATTGGAATATGTCGGGTAAACTTAATTCGAAAAGCAAACAAATAAAAAAAAAAAAACAGAAATTACAAACATGAAATTTAACATACACTTTGTGCAACATGTGAAATTAATTAAAGTGTGGCAGGTGATCATACTCTGTGACTCTTGTTTAAGCTGAAACTCAGGATATAGAAGCAGTTGTTGTAAGTGCACGTGACCTGGTGTTTAGTAATGTGGTTAATGTTGTCGTGATTAACGTATGGTCCTGGTATTGGAGAAAACTGCAGTATATAACTCTGTATTGTAGTAGAAACAATATTTAGAATCCAATTGTTCTGAGATAGAATACAAAGCTACATCACAACAGGAAGTATCAAGTTGCTTTAATAAAGTGGTACAACTAGGCTCTCCTGATACTGAGGGAGACACACATTTGCCTCTTTCATCTTTTTTTCTAAATGCAGTACGTTTTAGTTAAATATAGCACCGTTTTCGGTTAAATATTGCTTCCAGAGTTGTCTATAATGGGTTATGAATTACTATTCAACAACAAGATTCAAACTCTATTTTTTTTAGAAAGACTGTTAGTTGTGTTTAATGTTTGCACATCTGAAAACAAACAAATTCTATGACACAGTAGGTATATGACAAGCAAAGGGTGCGTGTACACTACATCAACTTATTTAATTTCATTGATTACACAAAACGATGGATAATATTTTGTTTAAAATTCACTTGGATGCTAAATAATCAACCTGCAGTTCATCCTTTCTGGCATCCCTTAACCAAATTTGCAATAGTTTGATGGTGGTTGGAAACCAACAACCAAAAAGAAGTGCGACAAGGAGAGGGAAGAAAGCAGGACACCCAGAAAAAAATAGCAGAATTTGCCCAAGTGTGTGATCATTTGAAGCAAAAGGAACATTAAAAGAGTGAGAGACAATTTAACAACAGCACAACAGAAAGCCCCCAGGGACTTCAGGAACAAGCAGCGGACTCATGTATCTTGATGTAATGCCGCCTAAGTCCATTATTTGGAAACCGGCATTCTATGGATTTTTTTATCACTATAATTCAATACTGAATTTAGAAACTGAATAAATGCAAATTGAAAACTGTGTTACTCACTTATGTATGGAGCTGGCAGGATCCTGGCAGTGCGTACAGGGCCGTGGCGCACAGAAAACAACTCCTGAGCTTCTCCAGTCAGCTGCAGAAAGAAAACAAAACAAGCTACCGTAATTGAAAAAAAAAACTGAAGGGTAAATTCTACCTAGATTATATGAAATATTGACATGAAATGCGCAACTCAGAAGTAATAACTTGTGGAAAAAAGGATGCTTAAATCATAGTTTTAGTGCTGTGCTGACTGATCTTCTCAATATTTGCTTTGCAATAACTGAGATGTTTTGACATGTTCCCTTTTATTTACATACAAAGAAACCTTGTACAAAATATGTGAAAGATTATTTCTATTATAAAAACTATAGATAAACAAAACACAGACTGGAAATCAACACTTCCTCAATCGTTTTGCAACAGTAACCTGCTCTTGCTTGTAATGCTAGAAGCTAAACAGACTGATTTAGTCATTTGGAAATTTGCAAAATATACAGCAGAATAAACATAGAAACATTAAGAATTAGGGTGATTTTCAAATGGTGATGGTTTTCTTTTTGTTTTGGTTAGTAAAACGTTTAAAATTATACATAATTAAGGACAATCACATGCATTACAGCCATTAGTATTTAGCATCTCAGTGTTTAGTCAAATGTAACCTTTTTGCCTGTATGGAAGTGAGGCACTGCCAAGATGGTGACAGTTTTATTCAGATTAAGCTTCATGAATGACATCACAGTGAAGACGTTTAGACATTTATATTGTCTGAGAAAGACCCGATGTTCTGATCCTAAAACATCAGCTTGCAGTTCTATCTTGTTCCTAAAAAAATTCACACCAATTTTTAAACCCCCCAAAAAAATTCACAGTGGTGTAAAATAAGTAATTACATAATATATGTTTTTTATGGGGTTTTTTTCTACAGTGATTGGCACCTACCCCGTCCAATCAAATTGCCTGTAAAGAAACGATCCCCCAAACACGAGATCTAGTGGATGTAACCGATCCAATACGATCACATCAATACAGTAAGTAGAATTTAAAGTAAGTTTAAATTTCCAGGAAAATAGTTTAATGTTTAATTACGTAGCAGTAATTGTTGTCTCGTGCTCTTTTTTCTGTCTCTACTGTTTTGCTCTCTCTATCTCGAATTTCTCTTTCTTTTGTCTCTCTCTTTCACTATATCTTTCTGTCTCAGTCTTTACTTTTGTTCTCTCTATCTCATTCTCCTCTCTCTCTCCCTCCATACTATCTATCAGTCCTTTATTTCACATGCTCTATTTTTTCCTTTCTTCTCTTGCCCTTTCTTTCTGTATCTCTCTCATTTTGCTTCACTTTTCCTCCACCTCTCTCTCTCTCTCTCTCTCTCTCTCTCTCTCGCATTAATAATCGGATGAAATAATAATACTCACTACTTTTGAGTAGTTTTAGAAGAGCTACTTTTTAACTCATATTTACCGTATTTTTCGGCTCATAAGACGCACCGGCACATAAGACGCACCCAATTTTATATGAGGAAGATCTAGAAAAAAAAGATTCTGAACCAAACATTTGTGTAAAATATTTTATATCAACTGTGTAAAAGTTAACAGCCAAACATGTAACATGAACAGACAGTAAACAGTAAAAGTAACAAAAAAAAGGCTGTAATGTTTTTCTTTGCCCCCACTCATCATTCTAAAGTCCACCATTCGTTATCACCATCACTGTTCCAGTGCAACATTGCCCCCACATTAGTAATACCGTAATAGCCAGTAACATTGTCACTACATTACTAATAATAGCTAGTAACATTGTCACTACATTACTAATAATAGCTAGTAACATTGTCACTACATTACTAATAATAGCTAGTAACATTGTCACTACATTACTAATAATAGCCAGTAACATTGTCACTACATTACTAATAATGGCCGGTAACATTGTCACTACATTACTAATAATAGCCAGTAACATTGTCACTACATTACTAATAATAGCCAGTAACATTGTCACTACATTACTAATAATAGCCAGTAACATTGTCACTACATTACTAATAATAGCCAGTAACATTGTCACTACATTACTAATAATGACCAGTAACATTG